ATCTAAAAATAGAATTTACAGACGGCTGCAGATAGGTCAGTTCCTTCCTTGCTGCATTGCATTCTGTGTAAGAGTAATCTAAAAATAGAATTTACCTGTAGGACCCGACATTGATTGCTGGTTACCACTTGACTACTCTCTAGGCTGACCGGAATTAGTTGATTGTTCATACCCGGTTGTGTGTCATGCTGAGGTAGGATTCAATATGGACTCTAGTTTAGATCACACACACTGTAGCTGATGAGTGAAGCTGCTATTAGTGAGGAGGAGGAGTTAGTAGGGGATCTTAGGGTTACTCGTAGAGCTGCTCTCTGTCGGCCTTTGACCCTCCTAGAGATAGGTCCAGGAGAGGAAAGGAGACTGTGGAGAGAAGCTAGGGAGAGGGGCGGCGTTGCGGAGGACGAGAGACGCTGAGGCCAGCGCCAGGGCTAGGAGTATAGCTAGCACAGGTATGACCATGGCCACCTCCGCTACCATGTCACAGGCCTCTTCCCAGGCCTCTTCGTCAGGAATCAGTTAGAGTACCCAAGGCTCCATAAGTCGGTCTGTTGGCTCGCAAGTCAGCCAACAAACCCCACTCACGCCAGAGGATTATGAGATCCTCCAAGCGGAAGCTTTTCATGATGAGTTGCAGTGGCAACTGAGAGAAGTAGAAGAGAGAAGAGAAAGGGCTAGATTGAGAAAAGTCAGATTAGGCACTAGGTTGCAGGAGCTAAGAGGACTAGAAGAACTAGATGATGCTACGATAAATCCCATTGATCGGTCGCTGCGCAACTCGCTACTTTGTGTGGCAGAAACGCGGGTAGTTCAGCGGGAACTGTTGGCTGAACTAGTGGCAGGTCATAAGCGAATTTTGGCTGCACTTCAAGGGCCTCGTCGAGTCATGAGGCAACCCTAGTTATCTGTAGTTCCCCCTTCGGTTGCAGGTCCTTCAGTGACGCCGTCGCCGATAGGGCAAACCTTCTCACCTATGTATAGCATGCCTCTCTCAGGCGGACAACCAGTAGTTAGTGGTCCGGTTCTTAGATCTTTTGCCGTACCATCTACGACAGTGGTAACTTCAGTCCCATTATCAGGGCAGGCAGCAACCTGTTTCAGTGGCTATGCAGCCACTGCAACAAGTGCTTGGGCCAATGCAGCCCATGCAGTGGATGCCCAAGATCCCATTGCTGAGTCCTAGACCTTTTTCAGGCGACACGAAAAAAGAAGAGGACCTGGACACCTGGGTGAGGACTGTGCCCACCTATGTGAGGCATAAGCTCACCAGGCCAGGGCAAGAAGTTATAGTTGCTGCCTCCTTTTTAGAGGGATTGGCAACACGTTGGTTAAATGGCTTAGTGCAGCAACAGGGCTACGGTCAGGATTTTGATGCCTGGGCGCAGGCCCAAACATTGGAGGACTTTGTATAATAGGTGGCATGACCCTCAAGGGGCTCAGAAGGTCACCGCCGCGACCAACAATCTTTGTGTCGAAAGGTACAAGAATGTCAACAAGCTCACAAATATCGTAGAACGTCCGCTCGTGGTACCTCCACGACCAGCTGGTACTCCTCTCAGATTATTTGAGATTTTTTCCCTTAGATGTCAAAAATAAAGTGGTGGATGAGGCGTACGTCGACCAACATAGCTTTGCCTTTTTCAGCAAGAAGGCCTTAGATATAAAGGCAAAGCTTGGGTCCGCGCATCAGGGACAAGGAGATGGTAGGAAGAAGAGACTTCCCCTGGATTGGAAGAAGAAAGGTCAACTAATGTTCGTCGACCATGATGGTCAGACGACTGAAGTTGGCGACTTCTCAGACCTTGGGGATGAGACAGAGCATGGTGGGACCAGTGAGACTCCGGATGGGGGAGTCGTGGCACCCATCAAAGAAAAGACTCGGGGGACCGGGAAGCAGAAGGTAGGCCAGTCTACGGGTCAAGGCGACCAAGAAACACCCGCATGGGTAAAACTTGGTTTAGATTACGAGGTGTGGAGGGACCGAGTTGTTAGGGGTACATGCATGAACTGTGGCAACTATGGCCACACGTCAAGAACGTGTCGAGGCAAGAAGGTCACCACGAGGGTAGCCTCTCCAACGGTAGTGGGCTTATCCTCGAACCCTGGCAGTGCTTCTGCGAGCACTTCGCAGGGAAACACCTCGGGCCAATAGGAGTGCTAGTCGCTCTTACTCACGCTGAAGTGGTAACGTTGCCCACTTCAGGCGTTGGCCAGGCTAGTGACCCAACCATCGCCCCACAGACACATTCAGACCCACCGACGCTCTGTTCGAGAGATGTGTCCGAGTCCCTAGAGTTACAGACTGAGTGGTCAGGGACGGACCTGAGAGACTCTTGGGCGATGATTAGTAGAGGTCCTAAGGGTGAACATTTCTCTGCAGAGGTCAATGTAGGTGGCCGCAAAGTAGGTGCCTTCGCAAACATAGGCTCTACACAAAATTTCATTAGTCGTGCTTGTGTGGACAGATTGCGCTTAGGGGACCAAGTGCAGCGGCTTAGCACTTCTACGCTAGCCAACAAGCACAAAATGATAGTCAAAGACTATGTCAAGGACGTAGTCTGTTCCTTCTCTTATGGAGGAGGGGAAGTGAGACACAAAATCTCATTCCTTGTCAGCAATGAACTGCCCTTTGATATGTTGCTAGGAATGTACTACCTCGAGGTTGCTCAGCCTCCGTTCGATTGGGATAGGAAGGTGTTGATACACAAGCTGCTAAATGGTAGGACCGTTACACTGCAAAAGTTCAAAGCTAGCAGTCTAGTGGAAAACTACGGCTGCATGTGTGCCGCCTCTTTCTATAACTACTAGAGTAGAATCGCGAGGAGGG